GGAAGCCCTTCACCCAAGGATCAATCCTGCCAAGTTTGGTTGAAATTGGACAAGTGGTTTTTCACAAGAAGATTTTTTAAGTTCACTATATAAGGCCATTATTTTTTGATATTTCGGTTTACAGACCCGCCGACTCAGTATTTTGGGAAAATGAAAAAAAAAAAAAAAATCTGCCCCCAAAAAAATTCTGTGTTGTCTTGAAATACGCTGCTAATAATACGACTTGTCAAAGAAATGTTGCGGTAAGTATTTTAATTAACTGTTAAACCTACCACATGCTAGACTATTTTACCTACGATTTATACACGCAACGGTTATCTTTACTCGAGAATAGCCTGTCGTCTGCTAGTTGGGCAAGTGTTTATTGGTGTATTATGAAAGAATGTCTGTTAAATGGGGTCAAGCCATTCTCACAGAATTATAATTAGGCTTTGATCATATTTCATCAATGCATTGAAGGTCGAAATGCGTAAAAATGTAAACAACCAAACAACCAAAAAAACACAAAAAAAAACACGCCAATTACGTAAGCAATTACATTCAAGGACAGAGCGAGAGAAATCTACTGCAATTGACAAGTTCAGTATTTTCAGATTTAACAAAAAAATTAGTCTTTTAAAAGCAGATTGAATACAGGTTTCAAACAAACAAAATAAAAAAAATGCCCGCACTTACTTTTAATAGATTTTTATGTCAAAAATTGACCCCGCTAATTATCCGATAAAAATATTTTCACAATGGGCAAAATTGAACATGACTTTGTGTAATCTTTTTTTTTTAACATCTGATCTATAAAGAAATGAGTGCAAGTCAGCTGATTTTCGGCACCTTTGATGATTCAGATTACACAGCAGTGTGTAAACATCAAAGAATGACAGATTCTTTTGAAGAGCTCCCTTGCCACTTGTCATAAGTCATTGTGTGTAGATTTCATGTGTGTTTTTAAACAATGGCAATATGAGCAAAAGTTTTTTATTTGTGTATAAACAATCTTTGGAATAGACAATCGGCGATGTATTTAATTTCATTGCTCTAGTAAGTACTATGTATATGTATGCACCACATTTATAGTTATGAAAACTTTTTTTTTTTTTTTTTTTCCCGCCGCCGCCCCTACCTTTTTTTGGAAAAAATCAGTAAACCAAAATATAAAAAAAAAATGGCCTAATCTATATAACACACACACACACAAACAAACACACACACAGGTGAATCGCTATATGCCACCGCATCGCAGATGCTGCGGTGGCATAAAAATAAGAAATGCAGAGTACCGGTTCTTGGGCACTGCACTTCTTCTTAATGAGATGTATCATCCTATGAAGTTTCAAGTCCATAGCTTTTATAGTTGAAGAGAAATGGGCCGGACAAAATTAAAGTATGAAAATTTGCAAAGGGCATTAACTCAAAAATTAAGAAGTGCAGAGTAACGGTCCTTGTGCACTGCACTTCGGGTTATTGAAAGAAGCATGCAAACCAAGTTTGAAGTAAATCCGACTTATAGTGAAGACAAGCTTTAGATGATGCCGACACAGACGCCAACAAAAGTAACCCCTATGTCGCCTTTTCAAGGTGACACAAAAACTGATGATGATGACAATTGCTTTGTTTATAATTAAATTAGATTTATTTTATAAAGAAATAAATATTATATTTGGATAAAAGCTTGATGCTCTATTCAGCAGCAACCTGTCGTAAGCAGCCAAAATGACTGCATCCCTTGGCTGAATGCTTAAGACAGTTTTACCTGTATATGATTACCAGTACATCGGTTTAAACTTATGCTTAAAATACTGTATTCCTAGAAGTTATTTTTCACTTTTTATGTTGCGTTTTTATCTGTGAACAAAGGCAACATTGTCTCAAAAGCTTTTGACAGAGATGTGGGCATTTATAGATATCAGTATGCATATAGGAGATATGCTCTGGGCAATATCTGGACAATAATTATACTGGATATTTTATCATCTCCAGTGACTTTGACCTTGCAAATATTAACCCAAATTACATGTGTCACACTTGTAGTCATGATAGTTATCATTTGTGTTACAATCCATCAATAAATGATGACTAAATGGTTCCTGTACTCACAATAGTGCCAAGTTACATGACCTTTACGTGTGAGCATAACCTTTAACCTGGTTCATGCATGTGACACTGCTTCTTATAGACTAGTGGAAAAACATTTCTATGAAGTTTCATTAGAATTCTGTCATGCATGTAGGAGATATGCTCCAGATAACGTCTGTATATTTCATAATCTTTTAGTGATCTTGACCTTGCATATATTAATAATAATGATAATGACCATTTGTGTTATAATTTCCTCACTAAATTATTGAATCTAAATGGTTTTCAAATACTCATTTTCAAATTTTTTTTCTGAACTTTGCATGCAACACTGCCTTTCAATAGCTGTAAAATTTTTTGCCAAATTATATCAAAGCCTTCTAAGCATTTAGAAAATTTTGCACCAAACAAGCATTTTTTTCAATTAGCTCTAAATGGGAACCTTGACCAGAGAACAGAGATAAGTGCGTATTTTATGCAATTAATTTTGTAAAATACGCAAATGATTTTTTTAGAATGCGTATCAAAAACCCATTTAGAACAATAGACTCAATTGTCTTAAAGACCCACGCGTATTGTCATTTTCGTCACGGCAAATTTAACCTTTTGTCCGCTCTTAGTTCTGAAGAAATTTATTGATATCGAATCGCTATCGAATTTTCCCAAATCAAAGATGCTTCAACTATCGAAGTCTCCGGGTCTTCCAAGGTAACCGGTCTCCAAGACCTAGTATAATTTCTAGTAAATGATCAATAAAGCATAAAGCCCGCGATTTGTGATATTAATGTCTCAGGTCGAGGTCTTTTACAGATGCAGAGAACCCCCCCCCAAATTGATTTTTTGTTGGAACTGTCAATATATATATACCTAGGTCCCAGCTGTATCAATAGATGCTCTGAAAGCAATATGGCATCGTACAAAAGGGGACAAAAGAAAAAAAAAAGAGATCTAAAACAAAACAATAAATAAGTAATCAAAAATCACAAAAATCAGTCAGAAAACGAACTGGTTAAAACTATTTTGGACTAAGTTCCTAGACAAATATAACTGGTACATTCTGGTGATCATGTAAATAAAAAAACATAATCTGAAAATAAACCAGAAATTTCCTGGATCAGATTACACTCATATGTATTTCAGAAGTGAACTTAATAAACCAAGGATAAAAAGCAGAAACTGTGTTGATTTTTTTTCCTCCTTGACAGGCATTTAAAGGAAAAAGACACATTAAGAGTGATATTTTTATTTGAAAAAGATAAAAGAATCTAGTACGATGACTGATTATTTATCGGTTAAAACTGGTAGATTTACCAAATTACTTTTCTAGAATGACATTCTTTTATTTGCTAAGTGACAACATGACGTAGACATGTAATCATTAGCAACTTACCTTTTATTATTTGAGGTCTGACTTAGATCTGACATGTGCATTTGTATTTAAAAAGTAAAAATGAAAGTTCTAGTAAATTAATAAGTAAGTAGACTTGAAGGTAAAAGTTTGCGGATGGCAACAGGAATGTCAAGATAAACAAGAAGCGGTGCAATGCGACGAAAACCAGGTTTTCAACGACCAAGTTTTGATGTGACAGCAATCAATAGGTCAAAGTCACTGAAGTTATTGAGTAGAAGCTGAAAATTCTATTGTAAGCAAATGACCTTGAACTTGCTCCCAGATATCTAAGTGGCAATCCAAAGCTGCCACTCAGCAAGTTTGGTGTCAAAAGGTCAAAGCAAACTCAAGTAATAACATGAAAACTAAATACATTAACCTTGATCACAGACACCTGGGTAGCAATCCCAAGCTGCCTCTTGATATAAGCTACCCATTTATCAAGTTTGGTGTCAATAGGCCAAAGCAAACTCAAGTTATTGAGCACAAACTGAATTTCTATTTTTAGTAACAGTGACCTTGACCTTGATAACAGACACCTGGGTAGCAATCCCAAGCTGCCTCTTGATATAAGCTATCCATACACAAAGTTAGGTGCCAATAGGCCAAAGCAAACTCAAGTTATTGAGCAGAAACTGAATTTCTATTTTTAGTAACAGTGACCTTGACCTTGATAACAGACACCTGGGTAGCAATCCCAAGCTGCCTCTTGATATAAGCTATCCATACACCAAGTAAGGTGTCAATAGGACAAAGCAAACTCAAGTTATTGAGCAGAAACTGAATTTTTGTTTTTAGTAACAGTGACCTTGACCTTGATAACAGACACCTGGGCAGCAATCCCAAGCTGCCTCTTGATATAAGCTATCCATACACCAAGTTAGGTGTCAATAGGACAAAGCAAACTCAAGTTATTGTGTGGAAACTGAATTTCTATTTTTAGTAACAGTGACCTTGACCTTGATCACAGACACCTGGGTAGCAATCCCAAGCTGCCTCTTGATATAAGCTATCCATACACCAAGTTAGGTGTCAAAAGGACAAAGCAAACTCAAGTTATTGTGTGGAAACTGAATTTCTATTTTTAGTAACAGTGACCTTGACCTTGATCACAGACACCTGGGTAGCAATCCCAAGCTGCCTCTTGATATAAGCTATCCATACACCAAGTTAGGTGTCAAAAGGACAAAGCAAACTCAAGTTATTGTGTGGAAACTGAATTTCTATTTTTAGTAACAGTGACCTTGACCTTGATCACAGACACCTGGGTAGCAATCCCAAGCCGCCTCTTGATATAAGCTACCTACACAACAAGTTTGGTGTCAATAGGCCAAAGCAAACTAAAGTTATTGAGCGGAACCCAAAAGTTGACACCCGCCCGCCCGCGGACTTTACAATAACCCGGTTTTCGTTGAAAACCTGGTTAAAAACTGTAATCAGAAATGTGGATGTGGATGCAAGGGTGAATAGGATAGTTCTCCATATACTAAATTTTAGTTGAGCTTAATATTTGACAATGAACAATGGCTAAACATCTTACGTTCCATCCAGTGCATCACATGCATCTCTTGCATCACGATGATCTTCAAACTCAACAAAAGCAAACCCAGGAGGATTTCTTGCAACCCAAACATTTTTTAATGGCCCATATTCTGAGAAGATGTCCTCAAGTTCCTGTTTGGCAGCACCATAACCAATTTCTCCAACATACACTTTACAGTCTAAACTCCAGTCTCTTGGTGCAGACATATTGATAGAATAATATCAATTTTTTTTGGTCTGAAATAAAATAAGAGCATGTTTGTAAAACATAAATGCCCCTAGCTCAGATTCTTGTCAGTAACAAAATTTCAAACAGGAGGGCCAAGATGGCCCTAGATCGCTCACCTGACCCATCAACCACATCTGAGTTATGTCTTAGACAAGCATCCTGACCAAGTTTGATGACAATTGAGTCAACAAGAGCTGTCGGTAGGACAGCAACACTCGACAATCTTAGTGCTTGATAGTAAAAAAAGCCTTGATTAAAAGGTAAAATTTTCTCAGGAAAGAAAAAGGCAAAATTTTTCTTTAAATCCATATTACAGTTATAGGCATTGGAGAGAGTCCTATTATGCTGTCAAAGAAGAGTATAAAATTTCAACATGTTTCAAAGCCTTATGAACTTTGAAAATATTTGAGGTATTACAAAAACTTTAACGTAAATTCTAAGTCAAAAAAGGGGCATAATTCTGTCAAAATGCTTGATAGAGTTACCTCCTCCTGTTTACAGGTTGGGGTTATGATGGTGAACAAGTGTGCAAAGTTTCAAAGCCATATGTCAATGGACTTTGAAAATATTTGAGGTATTACAAAAACTTTACCGTAAATTCTAAGTTGAACAAGAGCTGTCGGTAGGACAGCAACGCTCGACTATTCTTAGTGCTTGATATTAAAAAAAATGCCTGATACAGTTACCTCCTCCTGTCTACAGGTTGGGGTCATGATGGTGAACAAGTGTGCAAAGTTTCAAAGCCATATGTCAATGGACTTTGAAAATATTTGAACTATTACAAAAACTTTAACGTAAATTCTAAGTCGAAAAAGGGGCATAATTCTGTCAAAATGCTTGATAGAGTTACCACCTCCTGTCTACAGGTTGGGGTCATGATGGTGAACAAGTGTGCAAAGTTTCAAAGCCATATGTCAATGGACTTTGAAAATATTTGAACTATTACAAAAACTTTAACATAAGTGGTTACGCCGACGCCGACGCTCGGGTGACTGCAATAGCTCTACTTATTCTTATCGAATAGTCGAGCTAAAAAGGGGCATAATTCTGTCAAAATGCTTGATAGAGTTACCTCCTCCTGTCTACAGGTTGGGGTCATGATGGTGAACAAGTGTGCAAAGTTTCAAAGCCATATGTCAATGGACTTTGAAAATATTTGAGGTATTACAAAAACTTTAACATAAGTGGTTACGCCGACGCTCGGGTGGCTACAATAGCTCTACTTATTCTTATCAAATAGTCGAGCTAAAAATGTGACCTCTAGAGTGATTACAAGGTTTTTCAATATTTGGGCAGTGTGACCTAGTTTTTGACCCCAGGTGACCCATATTCAAACTTAACCTAGAAATCATCAAAACAAACCTGCAGACCAATTTCAGGGATATTTGGATAACAACAGTAGCCACTAGAGAGTTCACAAGATTGTTCTATTTTTAGCTCCTGTAACCTAGTTTTTCATCAGAGATGACCCATGTTCGAACTCCTCTAGGCAATTAAAGAGACAAGCATCCTGATCAAGTTTGATGACAATTGATTCAAAACTTAAGTATTTACAAGGTTTTTCCATATTTGGGCTGTGTGACCTAGTTTTTAACCCAAGGTGAACCATATTCTAACTTGATGTAGAAATCATCAAAATAAAGTTTCAGAGCAATTTCCAGGATATTTGGATCAAAACAGTAGCCACTAGTGTTAAAAAGATTTTTCTATTTTTAGCTCCTGTGGCCAAGTTTTTGACCAGAGACGACCCATATTCGAACTTGATCTAGAAATCATCAGAACATTAAATTTCACCCTTTAAACTTACAATGCACAAATCTTTGTAAAAAATCGTTGACATATTAGAATAACATGTAGTCTACAAGCGGCAGACTATAAACTGTGCCAAATATAGGGGAAAACGCCCCTGAGAGCATCCTAGAAAAAAATATTTCCGGGGGAGCATGCCCCTATACCTCCCCCTATATTCTGGCTAAAACCAACCAAATAGGCTGCACCAATCACAAAATCGTGACGGGCCTGTTATAAAGGCTAAATGAGCAAAAGTGGAGAAATCTATTTTTAGCACTGGTATCCTTGACCCAACTGACCCCTAACTCAATTCAAAGGAAGAGGACCATGCAAGTTATCATCCTACAAAATGAGAAAAAACATCAGTCAAAATATTTAAACTTCAGACCACTAATCTTTGTGCAAATTTCAGACAGATCATTCATGCACTTCGTTTTGTTCGGAATAATTATTCAAATTGTAAAAAAATGACACAAAATAAAAGACGTTTAAATGCTTTTCACTCAAAACGGGCTAAGAAAGGCATAAAAATACAATTTTCAATTTATTTCAAAGTATATTTCTTAACTATCTTTGCATATATTTCTGTTTAAAGTGCCCCAGCTCATGTATGTAAGAAATTCAAATGCTATGTTTTTAGGCTTTTAAACCTCAGTGGAGTCCCTTTAAGCATATGCATTTTGTATATCTCTTCACGTTTTAACACATTTTATAGACCTGAAGTAAAATACTTTGAACATGGTCAACACTATTATAAACATACAAAATAACGTATCATGATGAAATCACATGACGTCGCTTTTTCCCCAACGTACATTAACATTATTACCATAACCAGGGCCTTTTTACCTTCTATAACAGGGGCCGGTATAGGGCTGCTTCCCCAAAGAAAATTTCTTTAAAATCATGCAGTTTTCCCCAAAAATTGAATTTACATTAAGTTTTTTCTTCCCCTTTTGCAAATATACCATGTAATTTTTCCCCAAAATGAAGGGCTGGGCTGCTTCCCCAAACTGTGAAAAAAAGCCCTGCATAACGTATTTTTATCACGTAACCAAGTTGCAAATAAAGCGAAAAAATGCGCTAAATGTTAAAGCTACAAGTGCGTCAATGAAAAAAATGTTTTTAATGTTATTTAGGTACATACATGTAAGATATATTTCTGTGGGATCATTATTAAATTTGATTGAACTCGTTGAATAAAATAATATTGTGCTCCCTATATAACTTTATTGAACTTTACACTATATTTCATTTCACTTATTTGAAAGCGATTTGTTTTGTGACAGTCAATGAATTTAAGATTTTGAATTTACTAGCCCGAATCCCAGTTTTGAATTTATTCTACTATATATTTAACTAAATTTTCTTAAAATTTTCACTGGCCCGAACTAATTTTCACTGGCCATGGGCCACCGGGCCAGTGCTTAATTCGATGACTGTGTGAAAAAAAAGAGACTGACATTTGTTATTACGTAACTAAAACAACTTAAACTTGTAATAAGTTCGCTTTAAAATATTCTTTAACTCGTTTTGCAAAATTTATATCATATGACAACTCATATGAGCTTCTACACGAGTATATACTCTAGTAACTGTGATAAAACCATAATTTTCTGAAATATCTACTCGTTTTTTACTGTATCGGCCTTTTGTATGGACATCTCTCTTATCAATTAAAAATAATGATTCAAATAACGAGAATTTACTGCTTATACACAGTGGAACCAAAATGCGTAGATGATGTATGCATGCCTTTTGTGATTGAATATGCTATACATCACACTGAGAAATGAGAAAATTGCAATATTTTAATGCGAAGCACACTTCTCAGTGTGATATATAGCATATTCGCTCAAAATGAATATGTTTTCTTTATAATGCCTAATAAGTAAAAGCAACGTTCGACTGTTTTCATTGAAGCATGAGAAACAGAAGCACACGAGACTTTCGACTATGAACATCAACTTGGACCGTCAACGGATTGCTGACATTTAGATTGTTGTACAAGAGGATTTATTGACAATCAAGAAACTTTTATACGCGAGTGTGGACGCTGGAAGACACGATGCAAAACTTTCCTGTTGCTGGCTCTGTCCACTATACAATCTATGCTGCAGGATATACCGACAGAGCTTTGTTTATAATCAGTGTTTTTTTTCTCTACTTTGGAAATGGTGCCGGTGCCAGACTGATTGGGAAAAATGCGTTATTATGACTTAAATTGGGAATTTTTTAAAGCATTTTTTCAGCTAGACATAAGATTAGTCATCATGAATATAGATAGCTTACAGCTTCCACTGTCCAGGGAGAACTATTGAGTGGTGATTTATATATGAATATGTTGGATTTAAATGATTTCAGAGAAATCACTTGGCCTTGTGGTTATGTTGAACAGCCATTTTGGGAATTTAAACATTGGAAATTGGGAATTTTAATGTCTATTTTCTATTGGGAACAGTACCGATTAAGGGTAGTAGTTATATAAAGAAAAAAAACACTGATAATAGATACTGGTATATTTCAGGCCCGTCGTCACGATTTTGTGATTGGTGCGGCCAATTTGGTCGCTTTTAGCCAGAATGTAGGGTACGGGGGCATGCTCCCCCGGAAAAATTTTTATTCTAGGATGCGCTCAGGGGCGTTTTCCCGTATATTTGGCAGAGTTTACAGCCTGCCGCTAGTACATGTTAAAGTAATATGTCAACGATTTTTTACAGATTTAAGTGCGTCGTAAGTTTTAAAGGAGAAATTTAAGGTTTGCATAACGGACGGACGGACAGGTGTACATGAATACATGTAATTGATATTTGGCAAATGAAAAATAAACAATAACTGATGTTTGAAGCCAACACCGTGCCCAATCTCGTGTAGGCGCCTTACTTTATGGGAAACATTTGGATTGTTAACATCGACGCGATCACTATCACTTTCAACTTTAATTAAAAAAGAATCAACTGCTTTGGAAAGATCTCTGAACGGGAACTTTTTTTCCTAAATTGAATTTTTTTTTACTCATTTTGGCCAAAATATTGGTCCGGCCAAGGCCGGACCGGCCGGACCATCGACGACGGCCTTGTATTTGCACAACAAAAAAATTGCTGTTCGACACTTTCATTTGCTGACAGCGTCACTTGTTTGGGTCTTGTTATGCAAAGTATATTCTTAGTTATAGAAAGTTGACCAAAGATCTTGAAAAATTGTTCTACAATCTAACAATTATATTTAAGATTTTCACCAAATCGCATGTCATACAAATACAGATACATAAAAAATATTAATCCTACTAACTTAAACTTCTAATTTTATTGACCTCAAAATGACATGGTAATGTATAATTTAAGTAACCCTAAATGGTGAAAATCGACGAGCTTCCGGGGGCGAACTAGGGCTCTGTCCCGGACCTGCAAGGGGACCTATATAGCAGCCGGTGCCCCCATAGGCCATAACCCCCGGCGTGACGCGCGAGTGTGCGTAATATAATTGTTGGCCTAGCTACGCCCCTGGAAGTTATGGATCGTACACGAGTGTGGGCGTATAGACGACGGACGGACGCTGCAATTTCCGGGGTTGGGCGCGTATTTCAAACTTATGCATACTTTTTTGCCCTTTTTTTTTTGGTCCACAAGTCGTTTCCTTGAGCGATAATCGTTGAGGTGTTCCGAAAGTTCCTCCAGATTAGACTGGTCCCCCTGCATATTTAAAATTAGTCTGGATTACCTGCCCTTTTCTCTCCGTAGTACGACGGGAACCAGACTAATTGGAGAGGTCATCATTGGAGAGGTCATAAGGCATCCATTTAAATTGCGTATCTGATTGGGTGTACCATCTGATTGTAGCTTAAAACGAATTAACCCGGCCCCAAGTTAACCCGGCCCCAACTCAACCCGGCCTCAAAATCGGTCAACCCGGCCCCAAAATTGGTCAATCCGGCCCCACAGTATTTTAATTTGGTCAATGCGGCCCCAAAATTGGTCAGTGCGGCCCCAAAATCGGTCATTCCGGCCCCAATATATATATTTTTCAAAGAAAATTATTTAAGTCATTTTGTTGTATGAAGGAATAAAAATGATTTATTATTGATTGAAGATTATTAATGCGATAATTAAGAAGAAATGCATAGAATTTCGAGTTAAAAGGTTTGTATAAATTATGTTTCCAACAATCTTTTTTTTTTCAGTTCATTTGAATGTTTTTATTGCATACGTTCATCAGTATAATTAATTTAATATTTGTTTCGTTTTTTATTAACTTATTTTCAAAGAATATTTACTGTGTAAAAAAGTATTGGAATTTTAATAAGTTTGAAAAATTGATAGTGTTTTGTGTTTAATCACTTTATGTCATTATGACTGATAATTGTATTGATTGTGTTAATATTTCAGATGTGTTGCTTGTTTGTTTATATTGAAGGTTTTTATATAAAATAAATAATAAAAGATATCATCGTTAAACTTTTGTTGTTGTTTTTGTTGTTAATTTTCATCGTTTTTCTTGAAAAGTGTTTATATTTAGATATTTGTTTCTAATTTCATAATTATAAATTATTTCGAACTGAATTTTTTTGCATGAAATTATTGTAATAAATTATGATGAAAAAAATATTATAACACGCTTAATTGTGATTTATAAGTTGATTTCGGTAATGAAAAGTAAAAATTAATTCCGTCGTGTTAAAGCCAGATTTTGGTTACTACGACGTACCTACAGATATAGTCCAACTAATTGTACTGCGCGACGAGATATTGTGCTATTTTCGTGTCTGGGCAATATCTCGCCTCTAAAGCGAGATTCTGCCCCAGAACGAAAATATCTCAGAATCAAGCTTTGGCACGTCAATATATTTTGACTACTACAGATACAGATGAAAAGTTGATTTCGATAACTTTACAGAAATCAAGTTGATTTCATAATCGTAACGTACCGATTTAGGAAGTCAGACTATTCTACTCCTTATATATACCAGTTCCTTCCCTAACGTTACCTCCCTGACGCATTCGGAAATGCCTCGGCTCTTATCTATAATATAATCCTTATCCGAAGACTGACGGAAAGGGCCGAGTAGTTGCGATTGCTCCCTGACGGTTCTCTCCCTATTTTGGGGGAGAACGGTCTGCATATTTGCAAAAAGTATACCTCATTTGCATACGCCCTTCTATATTTGATATGACGTATTTGATAAACCGCATACAGACCGGGGACGGTCCATAATTCTTATATGGACTGAATGACGTCATATTAAATCTTACAGTTCGGGGTTTTATTGCCTGTTTAATTTGATTAACAAAAATTGAATAACAAAAGAAGGGCATGATTTTTTTGCTGTATCGCTTAAAAATAATAATAATAATACCGACTAGGGTTTGAAATATTTCACACAATGAACAAATAAATTATTATTTGAAAGTAAATTATAGTAAAAATGTCAGCAACAAAAGGGATTAAAGGATTTAGATTCGGTATAATATAACAAATAAAACATAACCTTCCGAGCAAAATGCAAGTTTACGGCCTGGTTGGTCAGACCTCGGAAGGTATATGTCCCTTAGTTGCGCTTCGGGCCATATATACCTTCCTCAGTCTGACCAATCAGTCCGTAAACTTGCATATTGCCCTCAAGGCCATGTATTATTTGTTAAATATGCAGACAGTTCCTACCCATTTTTATTTATACATTATTATTGAAGTATTTAGATGTTAAATAAATGGGTAATTTTATTATTTTTTTAGCACTTGCTGTATTAGAATATTATTCTGATTTTTATTTTATTAGATCTAATCACGGATTTACATTACATATGTAATTGTAATATAAATCCGTGATCTAATTTATACTTTTTAATGTGTTTTAGTCATTGAAAACAATTAATGAATAATTTACTTGATTAGGATAATCATTAGATATAAATTATTGTGTGTGTGTTTTTATTGTTGTTCTTTTTTTTTAATTAATAAGAATAAAATCTATAAGAAAAAATGATGAATGAATTTAAATTGCTAAATTTCATATTTTTGTATAATGAATAAAGGAGTTTAATACACAATTTCGTTGCGTTATGTTTGCTGTCAGAGTTAATTGAGGTGTTTATCATTACTCAAGAATCAATTAAGGTGTTGATTAGATTAGAATAGCTGTGAAAAGGTGTTGATGAATAAGTATCTTTATCAGTTATTTGGTATTATATATTGTTTCATGTTATTGAATACTCATACTTTAATTAATTTTGTATAAAAGTATAAAATATTTATGCGAAATGTAAAATTGTGCATACCAGTTCTTGCTTATTTATTTTCTAGAACATATTTGTTATCACCTTTTTCGCTATAAAATTTAACAAATGAATGAATATCACTAGACTTTTACATAATTACAGGCGTGTATCAGTCACTGTCCAATAATCTATATCTCTCACAATGAAGGTGTTGATAGGATTAAAATACCTGAAAAGGTGTTAAATTTACACACACAAAAAAACACTTTAAAAAAGATAAACATAAAATGCACTTAATTAAACCCATTCTTTTCATAATTTTCATTAAGAAATTTTATTATATTATTTATTTATTATATTAAGTCAGAACTCAAATGATAACTTATAAAAAAAATGGGGAGAACTGTCTGCATATTTCAAATTTGGGAGAGAAGCGCTAGGGTAAAATCGCTAGGGGAGGAAATGGTTTGGGTGAGAACCGTCAGGGGAACGAACTGGAAAGGTAGAGAATAGTCTGTCATTCCTGGATAAAACAAGGGAAGTAACTTAAATAACTTCTATAAAAAATATCGAAATATATTTCGGATATTTTTATGATGAAAGTCAATTTAAATTTCTCACATCTGTTAATGAAGAAGTGAAGCCTTTGTTAGATTTGCTAGTTGATTTCGGTACTGTAATTATAAGTTGATTTGTGTAATCCCGGAAACGGTCGAAAAGAAGCTACTGTACAGGAAGTGCCAGATATAAACACGTAAAACAAAATAATACTTTTAACAATGAGGCGCTCTCATATGGGTAAGCATTAGAATTCTTATGCCTCAAAATTATTAATGAGTTAACTTGATCGATATCGACGGCGGAATTTTGAATTCGTTGTGCACTGAAGAAAATAAAGTAGATCTTTTAACTGATTAATGTCATAATGATGCATTCAAATTATTGATTTCTCTAATAAATGAGTTAAGAAGGGTTATCATGACACAGGAAATGCAAAGTCGCGACAGTACTGTTATTGAAGTAATCAGTGATGAAAAGTATGAAGTTTCTGATCAAATAAATTTAAATGTTTATGAAAATGATAAAAACACATATCGTGCTGTAAGTTCAAGTTTAGTCAGAGATGAAAATATTGCCGTTAAAGAACATTCTTTACTTGGTGACAAATTTGACTGCCCCTTGTGTGATAAACGTTTTAATGACCACAGTAAATACATAAGACACATAAACCGAAAACATACAGGACATAGTTTTGATAAAAAAGTGGAATGTCCAATATGCCAAAGACTCTTGTGTGACTATAGTAAATTTAGCAGGCATTTAGCAATACATACTGGTACGAAAGAATTCAAGTGTGAAAGTTGTCACAAAAGATTTAGCAGAAAAGATCATCTTAGAAAACATATGACTGTCCATGCACCAAGCAGTGAAAGAAGACATAAATGTCCACATTGTAACAAAGGCTTTGTTGAGAACAACATTTTACAGCGTCACATTAATTCTCACACAGGGAACAAACCATACAAATGTGGAATTTGTAAGAAAGGTTTTTATGCTGATAGTACATTAAAGCAACATTTAACAATTCATTCAGATCAAAGGCCATTTTTATGCCCTGAATGTGGAAAGTCATTTCGTAGAAATGGAACATTAAAACATCATATGACGACTCACAAACATGAAAAACCATATGAATGTCAAGTCTGCCAGACAAGATTTACCTTAAAGCATACCCTAGTTTGCCACGCTCGTATTCACACTGGAGAAATGCCTTATCAATGCTCTAAGTGTGAAAGGGAATTCATGAGGTTAGATGTCTATAAGTACCATATAAACAGAAAAACTGATTGCACACTTGATTTTAAAAAGGAACACACAACAAGGAAAAAGAATTTGAAAAAAGAAAAATCTTAAAAGTGTAAATGTGGAATGTCAAAGTGCTAATATAACAGTTACATTGCAATAAAATTGATATTATCAATTTTATATTTTAATCACAAAGTCAATGTAAAATTTCAATTTAGTTTCACTGTGACATTTTCTGTTATGATTTTATCTAAACTATTTTCAACCACTTTAATATTTATCAAAGTAGATTTAGATACTAAGTATGTAACTTACATGAGATTAGGCATGTGAGAAAAATGTTAAATTTTAACTGCAAGGTATTGAGTTTAGGACTGAAAGACTCATTATGTCTTGTTTCAGCCCAGGATATGGGCTACCCATCTCAGTCACAGGGTTATCAGCATTCTCAGGACATAATAGAAAATGAAAATGACAGACAGGAAAATTTGCTGTCAACAAAAGTGAGAGCTCTTAAATCTGTAAGTATGTTAAATTATAAATATAATTAAAACACCAATGTTACATTTAGTAATCTCTTAGACCTTAATCATGCACTGCAGGCTGTAAATAGGAGTTGTCTTGGTCACTAACCAAATCCCAATTTACTTATCTAGACTGCTTGATAAAATGAGCTCTGCATGTCATATTGCAAATTGTGTTGTGGAATTTCATAGGTTTGTTTTGTCTTTTAGTGGGTTTCCATTATTTTTAAACAATAAGATTTTGTGTTCCATTATGATGGCATTATCCATATACAGTAAGAAGATATATTTTCATCAATATCTTTTACAGGTACATTAAGTTATACCAAGTAGGTATTATGAGGTCTATTGTAAAAATTTTTAGTTCAACTATAACCTATACCAAGTACATGTATATGGAAAGCTATCCTATTCATGTCCAGATTTCTGCAGTTAAATATTTTGTACTTCTTTATTTTTTATGTAAGGTAACAACTTCATATTTCCTATAATTATGTTCCTTATCATCAGTCACATTATATGTGGCTAGGTTAATAACTCTTAAAGCAATATTATTTTATTTCAAGAATAATCGCCCTTTAAACTTGGAATTTTCCTTAATTTATATGGTTTTTTTACTCTTTATTATTTTACAATGAATCTCATCAAACTTCAAATATATGTTCCATATCATCAACCACATCATTTTGTAACAAGGTTCATAACTAGCACCAATATTAATTACATTATAACCCCTTGAACTTAAGTTTTTTATACCCCCACAAACAAAGTTTAGAAGGTTACATAATATAGGAGTCAGCTTGTCGGTCCGTTGGTCCGTCAGTCGGTCCACATCATGGTTTCCAGACGTAACTAGAGTTTGGAATGAGGTATTGTAATCAAACTTGGTATATAGCAAGCTTATGTGGAGACTCCGGTTGGTATTGCATTGGACCTTCTGGGGTCAAGGTCACTGTTACTAAAAATAGAAAAATGGTTTTCGGACAACAATTAGAGTGCGGAATGAGATAATGTGTAACTTGGTGTATAAGCTTATATGTGTAGACCACATGGTTTCTGCTGATAATCTTGAAACTGTTTATCACAAAGTCTTCATATTTCACATAGTGATTGGTCATAACTAGTTGATGACCTCTATTGGTTTAAACATATTTATTTAAGCTCGATTGCGAAACAAGTTCTAGCAACTTATATTAATCACTTTCGAGTCCGCTTCCTGGAACCAACCAGTACTGGTGTCATATGGAGAAACATGGTCGTGACCCGAGTGAACCGATGATCTCTGGGTTCAAAGGCAGACACCTTAACCACTAGGCTACCGCTAGCCCTATGACCTCTATTGATTTTGGGGTCACTAGGTCAAAGGTCACTGGGGCCTTAAATGTCATAATGGTTTCCGCTGATTATCTTGAAAAGTCTTCATATTTCACCTATTGATTGGTCATAACTAGTAGATCTATGACCCCTTTTGATTTTGGGGTCACTAGGTCAAAGGTCAAGGTCACAGGGACCTAAAATGTCAGAATGGTTTCCGCTGATTATCTTGAAAACTATTCATCACAAAGTTTTCATACTTCACATAATGATTGATCATAACTAGTAGATGACCCCTATTGATTTTGGGGTCACTAGGTCAAGGTCACAGGTGCCCTAAATGTCTAAATGGTTTCTGCTGATTATCTTGAAAACTATTCATCACAAAGTCTTCATATTTCACACACATACTGATTGGTCATCACTAGTATATGACCTCTATTGATTTTGGGGTCACTGGGTCAAAGGTCAAGGTCACAGGGGCCTTAAATGTTAGAATGGTTTCTGCTTATGATCTTGAAAACTATTTATCACAAAGTTTCATATTTCACATTCTTATTGGTCATATTTACTAGATGACCCCGATAAATTTTGTGGTCACTAGGGCAAACATCAAGGTTACTAGGGTTTTAAATGTTCTTATTATCTTGAAAACTATTTATCACAAAGTCTTCATATTTCTCATATTGTCTGCTCATAGCTATTAGATGTCCCCTTTTGATTTTTAGGGTAAATAGGTTCAGGGTCAAGGTCACAGGTGCCTTTAATGTCAGAATGGTTTCCATCATTATCCAGTGTTTTTTCCCCTTATAACAGCACCGTTCCCTGTAGAAAATAGACAGCAAATTTTCCAATCCATGACTGATAAATTCCCAAAATAACACTGAAAATTTCCTAAAAAATCGGCAAAAAAAAACAGTAATGCCATTGGAGTCGAAAGTAGTTTGTAAAGTTTGTCACCTAATTATGCCATACAGAGGCAATACCACAAATGAAGGGTTACATATTGACAGAAAGCATTGGTTCGTGTCTATGGTGAGGTCAGTTTCCATCAGTTGTAAATAATTCTTAGTCGTAAATTTTTATGCCCCCACAATGTGGGAGCATATAGCGTTGCACTTGTCCGTCCGTCTGTACGTCCCGAAATCTTGTGAACGCAACTCCTCTTAAACCGGATGGCAGATTTTGCTTAAACTTACAGGGATGAACAACCTTAATGTGTAGATGGTAGTAAAGGAAGGAATTTTCGCTGCGACCAAATTTTACAGAATTATGGCCATTTGTTGATTTTTTCACTATATACTATGTAGAAATTTTGTGAATGCAACTCCTCTTAAACCGGATGGCAGATTTTGCTTAAACTTCCAGGGATGAACAATCTTAATGTGTAGATGGCAGTAAAGGGAGGAATTTTTGCTGCAACCAAATTTAACAGAATTATGGCCCTTTGTTGATTTTTTAATTATATACTATGTAGAAATTTTGTGAAAGCAACTCCTCTTAAACCGGATGGCAGATTTTGCTTCAACTTCCAGGGATTAACAACCTTAATGTGTAGATGGTAGTAAAGGAAGGAATTTTTGCTGCGACCAAATTTAACAGAATTATGGCCCTTTGTTGATTTTTAGTTTTCAACTTGTGGCATATGTAGTCCAAAAAATATTTGACCTAGAGTCATATTAGATTGACAGAACAGTGGCGTGTGGGGGCATCTGTGTCCTATGGACACATTTCTAGTTTTTCTCAGGATTATAACTCGGTTTCATCTGGTTTTGTTGTGTATTTTATTTAAACCATGTATAACAAAAAAAAGACATTTTGAATAATTTATTCCAGGGTGTTTGCATATCTAAAATTTGTTTCAATATACCGATATATCGTTGATATTTACCCTTCGATATATCGATACAAAAATTTCTATCATTGACAGCCCTACTTCAAAGCTTAAGCAAGATACATTGCTGACAACCAAATTTTGATAATTTTATATGACCTTTGACCTCTTGTGACCTTCATTTTGCACAAGTCCACTCAACTCACCATAGAGAACATTTGTTCTAAGTTATATTAAAATCCATTCATGTATATGTTTTTTTGTTTGTTTCATTTTACGCCTTTTTCCAACAGTATTTCAGTCATATAGGCGGGTAGTTTCCTAACCATCATGTATATAGGAGTTATAATCACTAATGAATGTTTTGAAATGTTAATTGACCTTTGACCCAGAAGCATCCAATTTTTGTCTGGAGCATATCTCCTACACCCATGGAGGAATTTTAATGAAACTTCATAGAAATGTTCACCATTATAAGAAGCCGTGTCGCGCTTATGAACCAGGCCTCTAGGTCAAAGGTCAAGGTCACACATAGAGGTCATTGAAAAATGCTTGTCCAGAGCAAAACTTCTACATGCATAGATGGATTTCAACATAACTTGGCACAAATGTTCACTATTGTGAGGTGAAGTGTCACATGCAAAAATTAGGTTCCTGCAGGCAAGGTCAAGGTCAGACATAGGTGTCAAAGTTCAGATAAAAATATTAAAATGTGTATTGGGACCATTTAGTCATCATTTATTGAGGGATTGAAACACAAATAGTCATTATCATGACTACTGGTGTGAAACATGTTATTTAGATTAATATGCAAGGTCAAGGTCACTAAATATGATTGCCAAGGTCACTTAAGATGATAAAATATAGATTTTGTCCAGATCATAACTCCAACAGATATGGAGGGATTCTAATGAAACTTCATAGAAATGTTCACCACTATGAGAAGCCATGGCCTGTGCATGAACCAGGCCTCTGGGTCAAAGGTCAAGGTCACACTTAGAGGTCATAGAAAAATGCTTGTCCAGAGCAAAACTTCTACATGGATAGAGGTATTTCATTATTACTTGGCACAAATGTTCACTATTGTGAGGTGGAGTGTCACACGCAAAAATTAGGTTCCTGCGGCCAAGGTCAAGGTCATACATGGGTTCAAACTTCAGATAAAAATATAAAAATGTGTATTGGGACCATTTAGTCATCATTTATTGAGGGATTGAAACACAAATGGTCATTATGACTACTTGTGTGAAACATGTTATTTAGATTAATATATGCAAGGTCAAGGTCACTAAAGATGATTGCCAAGGTCACTAAAGATGATAAAATATAGAGATTTTGTCCATAACATAAATTCTACACATATGGAGGGATTCTAATGAAACTTCATATAAATGTTCACCATTATGAGAAGCCATGTCCCATGCATGAACCAGGCCTCTGGATCAAAGGTCAAGGGTACACTTAGAGGTCATTGAAAAAGGCTTGTCCGGAGCAAAACTTCTACATGCATTGAGGGATTTCCCTGCTGCTAAGGCCAAGGTCACATACAGGGGTCAAAGTTCAGATAAAAAAATCACTAGAGATGATTGTATATCCAGATATAAATGCCCAGAGCATATCTCCTATATGCATATCTATAATGCCCACATCTCTGTCAAAAGCTTCTGAGATGGGCGTGTATTGCGACAATGTTGCCCTTGTTACCAAATTATTTTGTAATCCTTCAAAGAATGAGCAAGATACATCTGGACGCACAGACACCAAAGTATATGCCAAAAGTGACAACTCAGTGGAGCTCACCATAAGCAGGCTAGACAAAAACCTTGTTAAAAATCTGAATGTTATATTTGCAGTCCAAATATTACCGGTAGATGGAAGTTTGTCAGAAAGGTTTTGATGATTTCTAGCTCAAGTTTGAATATGGGTCATCTGGGGTCCAAAACTAGGTGACTAAGCTTACAATATAAAATTTAAGGAGCATGATCTGAATGGTAAATATATTTTCTATTTTTCAGTTAACGATAGACATTGGAAATGAAGTGAGGGACCAGAACAACATGCTTAAAGGAATGGTATGCAACTAATCCTTAGCCTGCTTGTGGTAACTTATTTTATGCATGTGGCCAGCACATACTTAAATCAGTTGGTTAGATCAGTCTTGTGATCATGGTCTACATAAACTAAGTTTGCTCTTCAGTCGGTATATATTTAAAATTTCCCTCAAAATGATGAATGGTTATAGCCATATTTTTCATTAATCATTTCATAGTCGGCATCAACAAATATTTTGAAAGTTATGCTGCTTGGGTAAAACTGAAAAATAAAATTTGTGACCTTTTCTAGCAATGTATCTGAGATGATGTATGTTTAGATCAATTTCATGAATATTGTATTATTAGATAAATCAGTTTGTTTCCTATAAATTTCACTATGCTTTGTGATTTTAAGCTCTCTTGAGCTAATGTTGAGGTGGTACAAATTTCACCAAATATCAAAACCAAAGCAGTTTATTATTTTTCTTTTATGTTTATTATGACCCCTTGATCCCATGTGTCCTGGATTACAGATCCCAATATTGTTCTCCACCACCATGTGATCCTAGAAGTAATCAAGATGAAGGAATTCCTAAAGATAATAAAAGGATGGATACTAGTATCCAAATGGCAGAAAAGTGGACCATCTATTTTAGGTCCTAAACTGTAAAACTATCAAAGTTTTAAAGTAAAATTTCAATTTCTTTATGTTTCCCAAAATTTTTGGAAGACATAATTATTGTTTTTGTCTTAGCCTTCTGTCATCTAACTGTAAACAGAACAAAAGAGAACAGTATAATTAATTCCGTAACAATAGAATAAGGGGCCATGGCCCTTTATTAAACTAAAGAAATTAACAATAGAAATGGCCCTTAGTTTATCCCTATTTGGTCGCATGTTTATCCAGTTGTCCATCCGTCTGCATTAAGCATGTCCAGCCTTCACAGGTCAAACTATTGGTGGGATTTCAACCAAGTTTTACAGGAGTGATCGGTACCATCCCTAGTTGTGCACAACACTGGCACATTCCGCTTCAATGCACAAATTGGACGCCAGGGCTGAAAATAGAAAAATCTTGTTCTACCTTCACAGGTCAAGCTACTAGTTTAGCATATCGCAGGCACTTTCCGCTTTGCTGCATAAAATGGCCTCAAGAGCTATAAATAGAAAAATCTTGTCTGGCTTTCACAGGTCAAACTGCTGGTGGGATTTCAACCAAAATTCACAGGAGTGATCAGTACTATCCCTAGTTGTGCCTATTACCAGCATGTTCTCGCTGCAAAAAATGGCCGCCAGAGGTGAAAATATCCCTGGAGTCAAAATGGGCCCTGCCTGGGGGTCATTTAGATTTCCATTATGTACTTAAATTAAAAACTTTAAAAAATCTACTTGTCTGAAAGTACAAGGCTTAGAGCTTTGATCTTTGGTATATAATATCATCTATAGGTCTTCTACCAAAGTTGTTCAAATTTTACCCATAGTGTCAAAATTGGCCCAGCTCCGGGGGTCATAGGTATTTTTTATATGTATAAAGTAAAACCTTAAAAATCTTCTCTGAATTGACAATTTTTTGATATTTTGCATGAAACATTGTGTAGTGGACTTCTACCAAAATTGTTCAAATTAAATTTAGCCCTGGGGTCAAAATTTAACCCTGGGGTCAAAATTGGCCCCACCAAGGGGATCATTGATTTTCATTATGTACATACATTGTACATTAAAAATGGAAACTTACAAACAATTCTTTTCTGAATAGGAAAATGATAGAGCTTTGATATTCCACAATTAACATTATCTGGTGGTCCTGTATCATTAGATTGTTTGAATTAAATCCTTTGGTGAAAATTTTGCCCTGCCCAAGGGGACACAGTGGCCTACTTTCTTGTCCTTTGGTGCAAAACCATGAAATATGGACCAACAGTGCACAGTTTTAAATGTAAAATTGAACTTTGGTATCAGCTTAGCTTACCTAGATTATGATGAACTGACCTCCTTTGGCTTTTTAGCTCACCTGTCACAAAGTGACAGGGTGAGCTTTTGTGATCGCTTTTTGTCGGGCGTCCATCCGGCCGTCCGTCCGTCCGTAAACTTTTACTTTAAATGACATCTCCTCATAAACCACTAAGCCAATTTCATCCAAACTTCACAGGAATGTTCCTTTGGTGGTCACCTTTAAAAATTGTTCAAAGAATTTAATTCCATGCAGAACTCTGGTTGCCATGGCAACCCAAAGAAAAAACTTTAAATATCTTCTTTTAAAAAACCCTAAGAGCTCGAGCTTAGATATTTGGCATGAAAATCTTCTAATGAGTGTCTACCAAGTTTGTTCAAATAAAAGCCCTGGGGTCAAAATTGGCCCCGCCCCAGGGGGTCATTGATTTTCCCTATATGCATATAGTAAAAACTTAAAAAATCTTCTTTTAAAGAACTCAAAGAGCTTGAGCTAAGATCTTTAGCATGAAACATGTTCCAATGGGTGTCTACAAAGTTTGTTCAAATAAAAGCCCTGGGGTCAAAATTGGCCCCGCCCCGGGGTCATTGATTTTCCTTATATGTGTATAGCAAAAACTTAAAAATCTTCTTTGAAAAAACCCAAATAGCTAGAGTTTAGATATTGAGCATGAAACATCTTCTAGTGAATGTCTACCAAGTTTGTTCAAATAAAAGCCCTGGGGTCAAAATTGGCCCCGCCCCGGGGGTCATTGATTTTCCTTATATGTATATAGCAAAAACTTAAAAAATCTTCTTTGAAAAAACCCAAATAGCTGGAGTTTAGGTATTAAGTATGAAACATTCTAGTGAGTGTCTACAAAGTTTGTTCAAATAAAAGCCCTGGAGTCAAAATTGGCCTGCCCCGGGTGTTATTGATTTTCCTTATATTTGTATAGCAAAAACTTAAAAATCTTCTTTGAAAAAAACCCAAATAGCTAGAGTTTAGATATTAAGCATGAAACATCTTCTAGTAATTGTCTACAAAGTTTGTTCAAATAAAAGCCCTGGGGTCAAAATTGGCCCTGCCCCAGGGGTGTCATTGGTTTTAACTATATGTGTATAGTAAAAACTTAAAAAATCTTCTTTTAAAATAACCCAATGAGCTAGAGCTTAGATGTTTAACATGAAACATCTTCTTATGGGTGTCTACCAAGCTTGTTCAAATAAAAGCCCTTGGGTTAAAATTGGCCCTGCCAGGGGGGGGGAGGCAGAACTTGAGAAGGAGGGGGGGGGGGTAGATCGTTGTTTTTCATTATATGTGTGTAGTAAAAACTTAACATTGTGAAACATCTTCTAATGGGTGTCTTCCAAGTTTGTTCAAATAAAAGCCCTGGGGTTTAAACTTGCCCCGCTCCGGGTGCCTTATACAGGTGAGCGACCTCAGGGCCATCATGGCCCTCTTGTTTTAGCTCACCTGTCACCTGTGATCGCATTTCGTCCGGCGTCCGTCCGTCCAGCGTCTGGCCGTAAACTTTTACTTTAAACGACATCTCCTCATAAACCGCTAAGCCAATTTCATCCAAACTTCACTGGAATGTTCCTTTGGTAGTTAACTTTAAAAATTATTAAAAAAATTCAATTCCATGTAGAACTCTGGTTGCCATGGCAACTGGAAGAAAAAACTTAAAAAATCTTCTTTAAAAAAAACGAAAGAGCTAGGGCTTAAATATTTGGCATGAAACATTGTCTAGTCTGTGTCTACCAAGTTTGTTCAAATAAAAGCCTTGGGGTCAAATTGGCCCTGCCTAGGGGTTCCTTGATTTTCCTTATTTGAATAGAATAAAAACCTTAAAAAATCTTCTTTAAGAAAAACCTAATAGCTAGAGCTAAGATATTTAGCATGAAACATCTTCTAATGGGTGTCTACCAAGTTTGTTCAAATAATAAAGTCCCTAGGTTAAAATTGGCCCCGACTTGGGGGCCTATATACAGGTGAGCGATTTCAGGGTCATGATGGCCTACATACAGCTTTCACATTTTTACCATGTGCACAATTTCAGATGTAGAACTGAAATTTGATATAAATTATTTAGACATTGACCAAGTGACCTACTTTCTTGTTCTGATGTACTTCAATGAATTTAGGACCATGTATATAGTATAATTAAAAAATACATTTTGCATGAAATTTGATCTAGTGACCATCATTGTTCAAATTCTTATTACGTAATAAAGAATAACTTTCTCTGCTTTCATACATATAACAGTCTGTTCTCACTTAGTGGCTAAATCGCCCCCTTGTTTTATATTCCCTTTAGTTGATTTTGAAGTGAAATGAAGCCAACTGCTGCAGATTAACATGAAAACGGGACACCTTCACTGGCACCCCCTAAATAACTCTTTTGTAGCATATTTTCCCATCTTTTAAATAGTACCTATGGTTAGTAAACATAAATGGCTAAGTACTGGTCGTCTATGTTACACAAATATTCCAAGAAAATTCACATACCTGTTGATATTTAAACCAAATGCTTGAATATTTACAAGTGAATTGTCACCACTTGTCAAATTAGACTTCTTAAAGCACCAAGCTACATGGTTTAGGTCCTACCCCTTGTTATTGTCAAGTACGACATTGATAACAGCATATTTCATACAGATCGATAGGAATAATACGATTTTCAGTACATTGTGATACATGTATAATGCTCTTTTGAAATTATATTTCATGTCTTTAAGGATGACGATTTTGACTCCTCTGGCGGACTTCTACATGCAAGCATGAAGAAACTGAAAGCTATTACAAGTATGGGTGGTTACAAACAAATGTGGTACTTACTTCTCTTCTGTCTGTTTGTGTTCTTCGTTTGCTGGTTGATTATCAGGTCAAGATAATGTCAAATATAGAATATGTGATATCTCTGTGAAATATAGAATATGTGATGTATTTACATGGAATGGAAAGTGCTTTATGTGAGGGAATTTGCAATACCGATGTGTATAAATGTTTGTTGGTACTAAGATGTTGTAATAGATTTTAATCAAAGTTATAATTTGATACATGACCAGTTTTCCTAATCATGAGTTTAGATTAATCATTTCTAAGATAAGAGTCATTCTGAATTGTGTTTGTCGCCCTGATCTTTAGCAAAACCAGACATAAACAAATCACTTACATATTCATAAACTTAAACTTACATAACCACTAATAGACCAATACAGACTTCAATATTCAAATATAGGGTTAAATTATAAAAGCTTTAAGACAATCATAATTATGTAGAATATTTCAAAATTTTAGAGCAATCTGATTACGTATATTTCTTTATTCAAATTTAGAACAGCAAATCATAAACTCCAGGTGGAATGGAAGATACGATGGTACTGACCTATAAAAAAAGACTTTGTACATTGTGTAGCGACAATAAAATTGGTACCGAATAGCATTACTTTTTACATTGTAGTTTTTTCGGGCGACAAAGAGAGCATTTTATCCAAAACTCAAATTTAATACATGAATGCTAAATTTTGCTTAAATCACTATTGATATCAAGTAACATGTATGTTTTTGGGATCCTTGTAAAATTCATTGATTCTTTTATGAAATTTTTTATAATTTCTCCATATTTAATTCAAGATTTCATCAAATATGACTCATTCGTTAATTTGTTTGTTTCCTTTCATTTGTATGTTTATTTTTTTCTCAATATTTTATTTTGCTTTGTATGTAATGACTTATTGTCCCCGGCCTTTTTGAAGAAAAAAGGGGGATATAGAAATAGGTCCATCCGTTCCTCACACTTTTGTGTCCGGTGTCATTCATCAAAGGAATTTGAAATAACATGGCACAAATGTTTGTTATAATAAGACGATGTGTCATACACAACAACCAGACCCCTACCTCCAGGGTCAAGGTCGCACTTGCTCATTCAAGGTCAACATTGTCTATTTGAGGGTATATGTAGTGTCCGAACCATAACTTTCTTATCTTTGAAGGGATTTTGTAAATACTTGCCACAATTGTTCTTAATAATGAGACGATGTGTCATGCACACACAACCAGTCACCTACCTCCAAGGTCAAGTTCACACTTGGAGGTCGAAGATTAACATAGTCTGTTATAGGGCATATTTTGTGTCTGATCTATAACTTTTTCATAGATTAAAGGATATTAAAAAAATACATGGCACAAATAGTAACTATAATAAGATGATGTGTCATAAGCAATACCTGCATCCCTACCTCACACTTAGAGGTAAAAATTAACATAGTCTGTTATTGGGTATATTTCGTGTCCGATCTAGAACTTCTTCATAGTTCAAGGGATTTTGAAATAACTTCGCACAAATACATGTAGTCACAATAATAAGACGATATGTTAAGTACAACACCTGCACCTCTAATTCCAAGGTCTAGGTCACACTTAGAGGTCAAAGGTTAACAGAGTCTGTTATATGGTATACTAAGTATTTTGTGTCCCATCCATAACTTCTTCATAGATCAAGGAATTTTGAAAATACTTGACACAAATAGTCAATATGATAAGATGATATGTCATGCATAACACCTGTGTCCCTACCCCCAAAAGGTCAAGGTCACACTTAGAGGTCAAAGATTTACATAGTTTGTTATAGGATATATTTTGTGTACAGTCCATATTTTTTAGCTCACCTGAGCTTGCTCAGGGTGAGCTATTAGGATCGGTGAATGTCCGTCGTCCGTCATACATCCAAAATTGCTTGTGAACACACTAGTGGTCACACTTATGACTCAATCATCATCAAACTTTGTCAGGATGCTTGTTTAGTCAATTGCTCGGATGAGTTCGAAACTGGGTCATTTCGGATGGAAAACTAGGTCAAAGGAGCTAAAAATAGAAAAACCTTGTGAACACTCTAGTGGTCACATTTTTGACCCAATCATCATCAACCTTTGTCAGAATGCTTGTTTAGATTATTGCTTGGATGAGTTCGAACATGGGTCATCTCCGATGAAAATCTAGGTCACAGGAGCTATAAATAGAAAAACCTTGTGAACACTCTAGTGGTCACATTTTTGAACCAATCATCATCAAACTTGGTCAGAATGCTTGTCTAGTCAATTGCTTGGATGAGTTCGAACATGGGTCATCTCTGATGAAAAACTAGGTCACAGGAGCTATAAATAGAAAAACCTTGTGAACACTCGAGTGGTCACATTTTTGACCCAATTATTAAGAAACCTTGTCAGGATGCTTGTTTAGTCAATTGTTTGGATGAGTTCCAACATGGGTCATCTCGGGTGGAAAACTAGGTCACAGGAGCTAAAAATAGAAAAACCTTGCGAACAGTCTAGTGGTCACATTTTTGACCCAATCATCATCAAACTTTGTCAGAATGCTTGTCTAGTCGATGCTTGGATAAGTTTGAACATGATTTATCTCGGATGGAAAACTAGGTCACAGGAGCTAAAAATAGAAAAACCTTGTGAACACTCTAGTGTCACATTTTTGACTCAGTTATCATCAAACTTGGTCAGGATGCTTATCTAGGTAATTGCTCGAATGCCAAGCTTGAATATGGGTCACCTGGGGTCAAAAACTAGGTCACACTGCTCAAATATGGATAATCCTTGTTAACACTAGTGGTCACATTTTTGACACACCTGTCATGAAACTTGGTCAGAACGCTTGTCTAGGTAATTGTTCGGATGAGTTTGACGGGTCAGGTGAGCGATCTAGGGCCATCTTGGCCCTCTTGTTTCATAGATCAAGGGATTTTAAAAATACTTTGCACAAATAATTACAATAATATTATAAGACGATATGTCGGGCGCAAAACATGGGTCCCTACCTCCAAGGTCACACTTAGGGGTCAAAGATTAACATAGTCTGTTATAGGGTATATTTTGTGTCCGATCTATAACTTCTTCATAGTTCAAGAGATTTTGAAAATACTTGGCACAAATAGTAACAATAATAAGACGATATGTCATGCACTACACCTGCACACCTACCTCCAAGGTCATGGTCACACTTAGAGGTCAAACCTTAACATGATAGGTTTTTAAATTCCATGTTTCATTTTATTTCTTTAATAAAATTATTGTTGCATTTGCATATCTAGCATTGATCATAATTTTTACTGAAAGTCCTGAGATCCATACCTCAATCTTTTGAAATAGCACAATTTTTATGCTTCATATAAAACTTCCCAGAGGCAGGGGACGTTGGTAACTCTGTTACAAATTCTTGTTTACAAAAAAAGTACAAACCGTCTCCGTGGTCGAGGGGTTAGAGTCGATGACTTCTAATCCAGTTACCTCTCTGGCGTGGGTTCGATCCACGGGAGATGCTTTGGTAGTTTAGCGCGGAGGAAGGTAGTCTAGTACTGGTGTAACTCTCCAGGAACGATGGTTAGGAAACTACCTGCCTATATGACTGAAATACTGTTGGGAAAAGGCGTAAAATGAAACAAACAAACATATTATCTTATTGTAAAAATTATAAATCGATATAGCTCACATTTCACAGACAGAGGCGTTGCCAACAATGTCCGATTTGTTAAATCCAATTGGTTCATAATAATTAAGATTTTCTCCTATGCATGTAGTAATACTTTTTAATCCCCTTCGGAGTTTCTGTGGAAAGGGGATTATAGGAATAGCCTCCGTCTGTCCTTCTGTCCACACTACCAAATAGGGGTAGGGGGGCCATATTACTGTAAACAGAACAAAAGAGAACAATAGAGTTCATTCCATTGAGTAAGGGGCCATTGGCCCTCTATTTAACAATAGAAAATAACTAAAGAAATGGCCCCTTATTCTATTTTGGCCGGATGTCCGTCCGTAACACTTTCGTCTCAGCTCCATAACTTTTAAACCGCTGAACATTTTTTGAAATACATGTAACTGGGCACAAGTGATCACAATAATGAGATGATGTGCAAAGCGCAAAAATTGGGTTGCTACCCCCAAGGTCAAGGTCACACTTACAGGTCAAATGTTAGAAAGTCTACATTTCATATCTGTCCATAACATTTAAACCGCTGCAATGTTAACTGAGCAGAAATGATCACCATTATGACACCATTAGCAGAGCACAATTATGAAGTCACAATTCTGAAGGTCAGGGTCACACTCAAAGGTCCAATGTAAAAACATCTATTTTTCATGTCCACTCTATACTTTATTGACAATTTAAAGGTTTTAAAATTACTTGGCACATATATGATCCCCACCATGACACAATCTGCAGAGCTCAATAACCAGGTTGCTACCTCCAAGGTCAAGGTTTTATGTTCTCCATAACTTTTTGACTGGAAGATTTTAAGTAACTTGGCACAAATAATCACCATTGTGAGACTATGTGCTCATGATATGCATGGCACAACATCAAGGTCATGGTTGGCAAAAGGTCAAGAAGTACATGTTCACTGCGGAAGGGGATTTAGCTGTCCTTCAGACTGCCTTGTTAAATCTATGAATGACCTTCCTTTTAGTTGTAAATAACTGTTATGCACAACATTCACGTGCAGATTCACTACATGCTTGTGCTAATGTTTAATACTAAATAACATGCATGTGCGTATTTGGAACATACCTGTTCAAATCATTACAAGAGACAACCACCATATTTGTTTTTCCAAATTGATACAGAATAATAAATTAATTGTGTACATTGACTTAAAGTAAACCAATCTCGGCTTGATATTTCATTTCATAGTTTAGAAGAAGAAATTTGGAATATCAGGTTTTTCTTATTTGGTAAAAAATTTTCTTTTTAGTTGGAAGTGTACTCTGTTTAATGATTATACTTTTTTGTACCGGAACTATACTTTCTCTGTTATATAAACATTTTGTTATGTTCTCCAAATTGTATTGAAAAATGTTTGGGTGAAAATAAAAGACATGTTTTGTTCTATTCTTTTCTGTTCTTCTCCGATGAAGCAGGGTGCAGTGAAAATATTTTCACTTCTGAACTTCGCCCTAAACGCAGCCGCCTACAAGATGAATTATAGTACATGTATATCAAAATAATCTTATACAGGGAAAAACATACAAATATACATGTACAGTACAATTTAGATTGCAAAGATCAGAAAATACCAAAGAGATTGCAGCCCCTTGATATTTTATAAGCGGGTGAAGCCCCACTTGTTTGACATATAAACCCAGTAAGCTATCACATTGGTAAGGGTGTAAGTTGTAACCGTATATTGTTGTAATGTTCTTGTTTTGCCCCTAGTGCAGTTCACAATTAAGCTAGTAGTGCATATGAAACAGCATTTTCAGAAGGAAAGCAAGTTTTCAACATGCATAGCATCTTTAGCTTACAAAAAATTCAAATAAAGATATAAATAAAGTATTGTGTTACATTAAAAAGTGATTCATCTAGTTTGTTTCTGTTAATTTGTCCTAAATAAAGTTCTTACCATATCTAATATCACCCTGGAAAAGTAAATAAATGAATATCTATTTGGCAAAGTTGTCAGTCACCAGGGGGTTTAAAACTTAAGGAGTTTGCAGTTTATTGTTAATCTATTTTACACAACACTAAGTTATTTTATTGAAAAATGATACATGCTAAATATCAAAGTTATGGCATTGCAGATTTAAATGTGATTCCTATGAAAGCCTGGATGTAAAATAAGTGACCCCTTGGGTGGGACTTGATCTATAGAACTTTTGTAGAGGACCCCAAGGTTATGTTTCAAGCTCTGGGCAGAAGGTTTTTGACCAGGTTTTCAACGAAAACCGGGTTATTGTAATGCCGAAGTCGGCAGGCGGGCGTCAACTTTTGGTTTCCGCTCAATAACTTGTTTGCTTTGGCCTATTGACACCAAACTTGGTGTGTAGGTAGCTTATATCAAGAGGCAGCTTGGGATTGCTACCCAAGGTCACTGTTACTAAAAATAGAAATTCAGTTTCCGCTCAATAACTTGAGTTTGCTTTGGCCTATTGACACCAAACTTGGTGTATGGATAGCTTATATCAAGGGGCAGCTTGGATTGCTACCCAGGTGTCTGTGATCAAGGTCACTGTTACTAAAAATAGAAATTCAGTTTCTGCTCAATAACTTGAGTTTGCTTAGGCCTATTGACACCAAACTTGGTGTATGGATAGGTTATATCAAGAGGCAGTTTGGGATTGCTACCCAGGTGTCTGTGATCAAGGTCACTGTTACTAAAAATAGAAATTCAGTTTCCGCTCAATAACTTGAGTTTGCTTTGGCCTATTGACACCAAACTTGGTGTATGGATAGCTTATATCAAGAGGCAGCTTGGGATTGCTACCCAGGTGTCTGTGATCAGATCAAGGTCAAGGTCACTGTTACTAAAAATAGAAATTCAGTTTCCGCTCAATAACTTGAGTTTGCTTTGGCCTATTGACACCAAACTTGGTGTATGGATAGCTTATATCAAGAGGCAGCTTGGGATTGCTACCCAGGTGTCTGTGATCAGATCAAGGTCAAGGTCACTGTTACTAAAAATAGAAATTCAGTTTCCGCTCAATAACTTGAGTTTGCTTTGGCCTATTGACACCAAACTTGGTGTATGGATAGGTTATATCAAGAGGCAGCTTGGGATTGCTACCCAGGTGTCTGTGATCAAGGTCAAGGTCACTGTTACTAAAAATAGAAATTCAGTTTCCACTCAGTAACTTGAGTTTGCTTTGGCCTATTGACACCAAACTTGGTGTATGGATAGCTTATATCAAGAGGCAGCTTGGGATTGCTACCCAGGTGTCTGTGATCAAGGTCAAGGTCACTGTTACTAAAAATAGAAATTCAGTTTCCACTCAGTAACTTGAGTTTGCTTTGGCCTATTGACACCAAACTTGGTGTATGGATAGCTTATATCAAGAGGCAGCTTGGGATTGCTACCCAGGTGTCTGTGATTTAGGTCAAGGTCACTGTTACTAAAAATAGAAATTCAGTTTCCGCTCAATAACTTGAGATTGCTTTGGCCTATTGACACCAAACTTGGTGTATGGATAGGTTATATCAAGAGGCAGCTTGGGATTGCTACCCAGGTGTCTGTGATCAATTTTAAGGTCACTGTTACTAAAAATAGAAATTCAGTTTCTGCTCAATAACTTTAGTTTGCTTTGGCCTATTGACACCAAACTTGATGTATGGGTAGCTTATATCAAGAGGCAGCTTGGGATTGCTACCCAGGTGTCTGTGACCAAGGTTAATGCATTTAGTTTTCATGTTATAACTTGAGTTTGCCTTGACCTTTTGACACCGAACTTGCTGAGTGGCAGCTTTGGATTGCCACTTAGATATCTGGTAGCAAGGTCAAGGTAATTTGCTTACAATAGAATTTTTAGTATCTACTCAATAACTTCAGTGCACTTTGATCTATTGATTGCTGTCACATCAAAACTTGGTCTTTGAAAACCTGGTTTTCGTCGCATTGCGGCGCTTCTTGTTACATATTTAATTTTTTTTTTCCAAAAGACAACCTTCAAGGTAAAATGTCTGATTTTTGCTTAATTTTTATGCCACTGCAGCATATAGCGATAGATCTCTATGTGTGCGTTTGTGGGTTCCCTGGAGTCAAAATTGACCACACCCCGGGGATCATTGATTTACATAATGTAGGTGGTTATAATAAGTAGACTTCACAAATAGTGATATAACACAAACAGGTGTATTATATATAACTCTACAAGATGTAAATTTATTCACCTAAAATCCCTAACATCGAGGTACTGGCTAGAGATGTTATTGAGCATGCGCAATGTGCATATATTATAAACTAGCTAATCAGCTGATATTACAACAGTAGGTATTGTAAAAACTTAAAACTTGTTCTTGTCTGAAGGTACAATACTTAGAGCTTGATATTTGTATTATAATATAATCTATAGGTCCTCTACCAAAGTTGTTCAAATTTTGCCCTTAGTTTCAAAATTGGCCCTGTCCCCGAGGTCATAGGTTTTCCTTATATGTATAAAGTAAAGACTTAAATAATCATCTTCTCTACATTGACAAAGGATAGAGGTTAGATATTTGGCATGAAGCATTGTGTAGTGGATCTCTGCCAAGATTGTTTAAATTATAGCCCTTGGGTCAAAATTGGCCTCGTCCCGGGGTCATTGATTTTCATTATACATATAATTAACTTTAAATAACTTCTTTTCTGAAGATAAATTAGGCTAAGAGCGTTGATATTTGGTATATTATAATATCATATAGGTCCTCTATAGGTCCTCTGTTATGCCCCATATTTGCATGCTAATTCTTAAAGGGAATTTTAGGTATATGTATTTACAAATATCATATTAGAAATATCTTTTTGAAAGTATATGTTCGCATAACATTTCCTTTTTAGCTCACCTGAGCTTGCTCAGGGTGAGCTTTTAGGATCGGTGAATGTCCGTCGTCCGTCCACAATTGCTTGTGAACACTCTAGCGGTCGCATTTTTGCCTCAATCATCATCAAACTTAGTCAGGATGCTTATCTAGGTGATAACTCGAATGGGTTCGAACATGGGTCATCTCGGATGAAAAAGTAGGTCACAGGAGCTATAAATAGAAAAACCTTGTGAACACTCTAGTGGTCACATTTTTGAACCAATCATCATCAAACTTGGTCAGAATGCTTGTCTAGTCAATTGCTTGGATGAGTTCGAACATGGGTCATCTCTGATGAAAAACTAGGTCACAGGAGCTAAAAATAGAAAAACCTTGTGAACACTAGTCACATTTTTGACCCAATCATCATCAAACTTTGTCAGGATGCTTGTTTAGATAATAGCTCGGATGAGTTCGAATATGGGTCATCTCGAATGAAAAACTAGGTCACCGGAGCTATAAATAGAAAAACCTTGTTAACTCTCTAGCGGTCACATTTTTGCATCAATCATCATCAAACTTGGTCAGGATGCTTATCTAGTTGATAGCTCGGATGAGTTCGAACATGGGTTATCTCGGATGAAAAAGTAGGTCACCGGAGCTAAAAATATAAAAAACCTTGTTAACACTCTAGCGGTCACATTTTTGCATCAATCATCATCAAACTTGGTCAAGATGCTTGTCTAGGTGATAGCTCGGATGAGTTCGAACATGGGTCATCTCGGATGAAAACGTAGGTCACCGGAGCTAAAAATAGAAAAACTTTGTTAAAACTCTAGCGGTCACATTTTTGCATCAGTCATCATCAAACTTGGTCAAGATGTTTGTCTAGGTGATAGCTCGGATGAGTTTGAACATGGCTCATCTCGGATGAAAAAGTAGCTCACCGGAGCTAAAAATAGAAAAACCTTGTTAACACTCTAGCGGTCACATTTTTGCATCAATCATCATCAAACTTGATCAAGATGCTTGTCTAGGTGATAGCTCGGATGACTTTGAACATGGGTCATCTCGGATGAAAAACTAGGTCACAGGAGCTAAAAATAGAAAAACCTTGTTAACAATCTAGTGGTCACAATTTTGACTCAATTGTCATCAAACTTGGTCAGGAAACTTGTCTAGGTCATTGCTGGGAATAAATCGAACATGGGACATCTCGGATGAAAAACTAGGTCACAGGAGCTAAAAATAGAAAAATCTTGTTAACACTCTAGTGGCTACTGTTGTGATCCAAATATTCTGTTAATTGGTCTGAAAGTTTGTTTTGATGATTTCTAAGTCAAGATCGAACAGGGGTCATCTTGGATGAAAAACTAGGTCACACCGCCCAAATATGGAAAAACCTTGTTAACATTCTAGTGGTCACATTTTCGACTCAATTATCATCAAACTTGGTCAAGATGCTTGTCTAGGTAATTGCTTGGATGAGTTCGAAATCGCATGTGAAACTAGGTCACCGGAGCTAAAAATAGAAAAATCTTGTTAACACTCTAGTTGCTACTGTTTTGATCCAAGTATCCTGGAAATTGGTCTGAAAGTTTGTTTTGATGATTTCTA